TTTGTCTTAAAGCAAGGTAACCGCAGAGTCACAGAGTATATCATAGACTTCCATACCTTTGCCTCAGACAGTCAATGGAATGATCCAGCACTAATGGATGCATTTTTTCAAGGCTTAAAGGAGGAAATTAAAGATGAACTGGCCACGAGACGCCCGGGAGACCTACGTACTCTGGAGGAACTGGCTACTCGTATTGACAACAGGCTGATGGAACGCAGACGTGAGAAAGGAGGCACTTCCTACTCCCTGCCACGCTTTCGAGGAGGAAAACGAACCACCTCTCCGGACTCCTACGATGGCCCCAACTTTCTTKCCCCAGAGGAACCCATGCAGATCGGCAGAACCAAACTCTCCTTGGCGGAGCGGAACCGTCGCAGGTCAGAGAACTTGTGTTTTTACTGTGGGGGAAAAAACCATCAAATCAAGGACTGTCCATTAAAAGGTCAGGCTCAGCAAGGTCCAGGAGAGTCTTGCTGAGCCCAGTCAATAAAAAAACTGAGATCTCCTCCTTGCTCTCCCTGCCTGCTAATTTGTGTGTCAACGGTGTCATGAGTCAGGTCCAGGTCTTCATCGACTCCGGTGCAGACTCTTGAGTTTATTGACCATAACTTTGCTAAAGCCCTAGGGGTCAAGTTATTGTCTACACAAAATGACCACAAAGTTACTGCATTAGACAGTCACATACTCAATGCTGACAATCTAGAAACTGTTTGTTCAACTTTCATTATGTGGTAACCACCAAGAAAAGATCAAATTCTTTGTCATTCAATCACCTGAGCTACCTGTTATTCTGGGATCTACTTGGCTTAAGAAACATAATCCTCATATTGACTGGGTCAAAAGAGAAATCTTAGGCTGGGCTAATCAATGTTCTTCCTCATGTTTGTTAGACGCCAAAGGGTCTTCCTGTCCTCCAGAAGATGCTAATAAAAATTATCCTGATTTAACTAAAATACCTAAGGAATACCATGATCTAAAATAAGTCTTTAATAAGTCCAAAGCCACGTCACTACCCCCCCATAGACCTTACGACTGTCCGATTGATCTCATACCAGGTACAGTTCCCCCTAGGGGAAGGTTGTTTTCATTATCTGTACCTGAAACAAAGGCCATGACTGAGTAGATTGAGGAGAGTTTACAGGCTGGTATAATACGCCCTTCTGCATCCCCAGCTGGTGCAGGGTTCTTTTTTGTCAAAAAGAAGGATGGTTCCCTAAGACCCTGCATTGACTATCGGGGTCTTAATAACATTACTGTTAAAAACAAATATCCCCTACCTCTGATGTCCTCAGCTTTCGATCTCATTCAAGGGGCCAAKATTTTTACCAAATTAGACCTCCGCAACGCTTATCATCTTGTTCGTATCAGAAAAGGAGATGAGTGGAAAACTGCTTTCAATACC